CTATAATTCACAACGAACGAACGATTCACGCGGTTGACTCAATTGTCGTCTCTATCTCTGTCTGCAATTCAATTCCGATTAATTTGTCTCACGTTATCCGGCGCACTTATATACAGGAATAGAGAGCGCCTAGCACATACTAGATTATTCGTGATGTTCCCCGATCCTTCTAGAATATCATGCGTATTACCAGAGTCACGTGACTACCGCTGTCGTAACAGTATTCTTATTGCACTAAGTACTCAGCTGCACTTACAAGTATCTTAGCTACTATTTATAGTTAGTCCTCATTAACATATATAGTCATTGCTGTTTAGGTGAATACATTTGGCTATCTCAAGAAAATTGTTATTTCAGTATATATTTAGCTGGTATATATCTGGTGCATTGTGTACTTAACTATCACTTACATATGTTAACACACAAAACTTCACGAAAAAGTTGTTTACATTCGACCAGCTAATCATACAAAATTGATAATGTCGAATTATACTTAATTTTCGAATTATTCATCCAGTAGACCAGAAAAAAAAAGAGATTTGTTTCTGCTTAAAATCAAGCATGATCTTCAAGTCATTATTTCTTAATTTATCAGATTCCTAACAGTAGTGAAACAGTATTGAACAAATAAGTCAAATCTCCAGTTCTTCCGCATTCCAAAGAAAACAAAATTTAATTCTAAAATCTGAGATCACGTCTTTTAAGACCAGTAATCATGCTAGAATCCTACATCTGTACTGTCTTTTGCACATTAGTATCCTTTTGTGAGAACTGTTTACATACAACCTCTCTTTATTACGTGAAGTAAGTCTGATACTTTCACTTGTAAGGACCTCATTTCCTATTTAACCTCTTGTAAATAATCTTTCACAAGTGTCGTGAAATTCGAGCTAAATGATATCCATAGCTTACCTTTATCTAGAAAAATCAGACCTTTATTTCCATATCTTTATATAACACTGGCTATCATTTGGCATTTCCCCAGCATTCAGAGAATTTCTAAACATCACATTTCAAGCTTTCACCAGTTCTATATTCATAGTCTTTAAAGCCGTATAAAATATCTCGTCAAGAAAACTCTTTTAGCTTTAACAAATATATAAAAATATGAAAGTTAATTAATATTGAATATATCATAATTATATTTCCAAAGCGATCAATTTTCCTTCTTTTTGTCTACCATCCACGAAAATATATTTCTTGCAGTTTGATATCCTACGCTGACAAGTTACTATTTTGTATGGTTACTTTCGCTGGTACAAATCGTGACTTTAATATGCACTGCCCGAAAAACTAAAGGGTAATCTGACTTTTTAATAGTGCAGATACGTTTTTTGTTTGTTTTTGAAGTTAAGCACAAAGCTACACAATGGGCTATCTGTGCTCTGTCCACCACGGGTATCGAAACCCGGTTTCTAACATTGTAAGTCCGCGAACATACCGCTGTGCTACTGAGGGGCTTGAAGATACGATAAGGCAAAAACACTGGCATAAAATAATGTCAATTATACTTCTCGGTTAATTTTCATTTAAATTTGGCATCTAATGACTAGTCATGCGATCTGAAATTGCAATGATAAGTCATTAAGCCTACAGTTATAAGTGAACATTTGGTATATGTTGTTTTATATCTTTAAAGATCATATCATTTCAATTCATTATGGAGTACAGTCACCACAAATAGAAAGAGCAGCTTGGCTCCGATGTTTTATGCTTCAAGTCAGTGTTGATAAATTTCTATGTTACTATCCAGCATTTTTTTCAAACCATAATTCTGCCACAACCATGTGCGTGATATTTCTGTAAAATATTGCCAAATTCAGTCCATGTGTATGAATATGTTATCTAGCTGCGGAGTGAAGCACAATTCATCTTCTAAAAAGAATATTGCTCTAAATGTTGTTTGCTCACTAGATATCTCCTTCTTTGCCCATTACAGATGAACTATTTTATGTTTTGCGGTAAACTGGATAGCCTATCATTGAGCGTCTGGTAAACAGGCTAGCCTTGTGTAGTGTATTTTTAATCATCTGTACGCCCATGTAACATCCAGATGCGGCTGCGATTATTTGGTTCAAGGTCGGAACCTGTACCTCACAACTGAGACAAACTGGAATCAACAGATAATTGTCGTCTGTTTTGTCGTGGACAATGTCATTTTCTGTTCGGGTCTGAACGACCATTGTTTCAGAAGTAGTTCGACATTCTGCAAATTACATTTTAAGATAGTTGTAGCTAATTCGCAACAAGCTGCTGTGATCACCGCATTTCATTTGTTGATGACTTTCAACAAGTGTAAAACGTCCCAACATCTCGAAGGTCTATCCATGGTTCCCGAACAATCTCAAGAACTTTGAACTCTGTGATTCAGACTGACAACTGAGCCAAGACTGTATCAGACCACTATGTATTGTACTGGCTGAATAACCAGTCATTTGCATTTCAGATCACATGGTTGATTCAAATATATGATTTCAATAACAAATAACTGAGGGGGGGGGGATTTACATTATATTATAACGGTGATTAAAGCCTTGCTATAGCTAGAATATTACATATTCGATTATTCATTAACTACTGAACGGCTTACTTACTTTACACACACTTCAGACATTTTTTATTTATTTATTTTTTTGTCATTCTCTCTTCCATGTGTGTTTAGCCTTTGCTGGTCGCATATTTGCGCTCAGCACTCTGTATACTCAGCCGCTCCTGGTATACTCAAACTCAGTAAACTATGTTTTGAACTTTCACCTAAGTATTTATTTGTGTTTTGCTTGTTTTAGGATGTCATCACTGACCTTAATGCAGATGGTGAGCAACTACCGACAGATCCCGCACACGAAGATTGGTTAGGACATAAGGTTGGCCATTGTTATTTACGTAGCTTTATATATATATCTATATATATAGCAGACTTCCAACTCCAGTTAAGAAGCTGCTAGAAGATTCCCATGCTCTAACAATTTTGAAGAATAAAGAGCTTTTAATTTCAATAAAATATGTCTGTGGTCTATTATAGGCGTGCTTAGTGCCAGATAATTTAAATAAATAGGAAAAATAGGTAAATAATTGTCGTTGTTTGGCTTGATATGTCATAGTCACTGATTTTTTTCCTTATGTAGAATATCAAAGTCACGTTTTCAAATACCATACATGATTCGTTGCTTATGATTGTGTGTGCTAAAGCATAAGAAGCTATTTCGATTGGAAAAGTTATGTACTTACATGTACACTTCAACGTGAAGGTAGAGAAGGTGTAAAGCTTCCAGGATTGTTGTTCTCCTTAATTCAAAGGTTATAAACAAATATAAGTATATAATCAGTAAGAACGAAAAACAAAGTTAGAATTTTCACCTTGAATGGAATAAACGGTCAAGTCAAAAATCCCTAGAGTTTGTTTTGTTTTGTTTTTT